ACACAAACATAATTGTTCTGAAATCCATAATACTCTAAAAATTGAGATTTTTTTAAATATCTACAATTACGTTAATCTCTGTCCAAGGAAATATATCAAAATAGCATATGGTTCAAGCCTTGGTATTTAAAGACTAACTGTATGGCCAGGAATAAAATAAATATAGGCAAAGAATACAACATTATTTCCTAAAGAATGTTTCCTCAAGTTTCTGATTGTTACTTATTGAACATATAATAGTATGCAAAAGTATACTTTGTTTACACTATGCCAAGAATCACATTTTTGTAGCTGATTTAGTAACAAAATTAATGTATAATATCTTAAATATGATTGAGTTGAAAATACAAAGTAAAAGCAATGCAGATAATTATACCACTTAATCATTTTAGGGTTCCCTTTGAAGAATCATCTTCATTTGACATAGGAAAAAATGCTCTTTTTCTTTTTGGTATTCATGTTGTTGGACTGAGTTTGTTTTCTAGGATAGATGTTTGATTAGCTATAAATGCTACCTTCTGATCCTGCTCTTTCCTAATAGTGTGGTCTTGGCAGTATACATGTTTAGCTCCTCTGAGTGTTTACTACAACTCCCTTTAGTATTCTATATATGATTTTGTTCAGCAGACTTGTGTTATTAAAATGTATATAATGTCATATAGTACATTTGCAAATCACATAGGAACTAAACAATCTTATTTATTGTTAACATTCAACTAGTTCATTCTGCATAAACCTTATTCTAGCTGTCACAAAAAATGAGTAGTTAGACATTTTGGAATTTTAAGAACTACCTATTTGCTTAATCTATTATTTTATTTATGTTGTATAGAACTTATAAACACTCCTGCATTAGATCGGGCTTTAAACATTCAATAAAACACATTTACTGTGTCCAAGATTAAATCATACATTGTTTAAAATTAATTATTCCTTTTTAATTGCATTGTATAAACAGAAATGACCTGTTAATTTAAAGAAAATCTATCAGCACAAAATGAATTCACTCATATAAACAAGCAAGATGAACTTGACCTTGTTTGAACTTGTTTTGATGTGGCCCAGATGGTAGGCTACATGCTTGAATAGCAGGCTAAAGCTGAGGAAAAACTCATATAGCAAGATCTAGATTTATAGCCTTCTGCAAATTCCTACCTTGTATTGTCCTTTCAGCATCTGTTCTGCCGCCACTGCGGTCAGCTTCTATCTCTGGGGTCAGAGAGTCTAAAAGCACAGAAAGGTAAGAGTGACATATATTTCATTTGGTTCCTATTGTCCTTTTTAAAAAAAGAGCAACCTGTTACTTTAGCACTGAATTAAAATCACATAAATCTTTGTCACCTTTTAAAGGTTGAACAAAAACCATAACCCTAAGAATTTTCAGGAGATTTGAATAAAAATAAAATATAATATTGTTCATAAGATAGAATGAGGGTGGAAGTTCTTCCATTCATATTATGTCATGTTTCAGTTGAAAAAGATTTGGTCAAGCAAAAATGCAATGCCAGGTCCCAGATTCTGGGGTTAAGTAACAGAAAAAGATTGAAGCAAATATGAAATAAAGAATTTCTCCAACACATTCTTCCCATCAAGCACAGATGAATGAGTCACAAGACATTGAAATATACAAAACCACAAACATGTGTCTAAATTTCCCTTTGAGTATTAAAAATAAAAGTTGATCATGCATACATGTGCACCTTCTTACCATTTAAGACCCTGAGACTGTCTGTTGAAGCTGCCTGTTTTAGTGTCTGCTCTGCTTGCTCACGCCGTTTTGTCTCAAATTCAAGTGCTTCCTGCAATTTTCTCTTTGCCTTCTTCTCCTTCTTTAGTCTCTTTTGAACAATGGCTAGAAAACAGTGTGTATACTTTAATATTTTAAATGTAATTGTATGATGTTGCTAATTTTCATTCATTTTTTGTTTCCTGCTGTACTGATTCTACCTATAAGGAGAAACTTTAAAAAATTCACCTTTATCTAAAATGATTCCAAATAAAATGTCCAAGTAAGCCAATTTTTATTTTAGCTTCCAGCTACTGCATTACAGAAATGCTTCTAATTGTAACATGTAAGATAAATCTAATAGGAAACCACTTTTAGGAAACATTTGTACTCACAGACAAAAGAAACTTGTGTAAATGAATTATGTGGCTTGTTCTTTGCCCTTGTATCAAGAACAGTGAAGGGTAGTTTAAATAGGCTAAACCATTATGAACAGGTCTTCTATCTCCTTATAATGCATCAATTTTGAGTAAAAAATGAAGCATTTCCTTTATAAATATTTTATAAAATAATATCCCAACAACTAGGTTTTTAATAATTCTTGAAATTTTAGAAAACAACATCAACATTTTTTGTATATGCAGAGCAAAACACTCTTAATTGTTAACATACATGAACAGTATTTTTTGACAAAGCCATTTTCTCAGAAAATTGTTTCTTCATAGCAAATTTATAGCACTACAAATTATTTTAAAAAAATTATACTTCCATTCTGTAGGAATCTGGTGAAGTATAAAACCGAACTGCTAATAGTGTGCCATTGATGACAAAAATATGCTTTTATATAAAATTAGATTATGATATAAAAAGTTGATTCTGATACATTTTCTCCTACTGTACAATTTAAATATGCATATGTTAATAAATAATAATAATACATGTACTTTACAAAATGTATGGTAACTGTACTCTTGGTATAGTAATTATTTTCACTTTTTCTATACATACACACATGCTTGCACACACACACACACACACACATACATATGGTAACCACTCAGCATGTGTTCTTTGAACTCATCTTTTTTGACAAATATCGATAAACATTGTGGATGTAGTGTTCCACTATGAGAAAATTCTTTTATTTTTCATGAAAATTAATTATCCCAAGTTTACTATTTGACTTCTTACTACTGATTAGAAAACACCATTATTTTTATTTAGCACAATATTTGGTCCAAATGGAATATGAGGTAATAATGATTCAAGTGAATACTTTAGTTTCAGTTTCTAATTTCTGCATTTCTTGATTAATCATTAGTAGTGTTGCTAAGATGGTATCCCATTAACAAGTTGAGTTTATTATTTCTGTATCATAATTTTAAAAACTTTTAATCAAAATGTACATGGACTAAATTGAGTAAATGCTGATTTCCTTTGCTTAATAATGTGAAAACCATATGCTTACTTTAACAAAATTACTTGCCTACTATTTTTCTTTCAAAAGGTGATTATTTATAAATATCTTTGAAAAGAAACACTAATTTTTGAAATACTTATATGTCCCCATTTGATTGATAGCTCTATACCCAGTATGTTGCCATCAACCATTCCTTGTTTCCTCCTATTTGATTGAACCAAATAGGATGCTATGTTCTATCTTCAGGGTAATACACTGCATCAACAGACACATTTATAATAGATAAGTATTGATAGATAAGTTATTACCTTCAACTTATTGTTCATAATTAATTAAATAGGTTGTTCATAGGATGATCTGTGAATGTTTTGCCCTCTAGTGGTTAAAGAAATAAAACAGAATGTAAAACTTCCTAACCAGTTGGAACCAATAAAATTAGGAAGGTCTCTCAAATACTCAAAGGGTTGTTTAAGGAATCCAAGAGTCTGTTTTTTGTACTATAAGAAAGACTTCTCCAGGTGTGACAAAAACAAGACATGGTGATCTCATGGAAGATGGCCCCACAGACTGAACTCTCTGCCTGGACTTCCTTATTCACTTAGAACACATCCATTATCAGTGTTTATCTTTGATTATTTTAGCCCTTTAATCTAGTGAAGCCATGTTATTTATAATGGTACCATTCACCTAGGTGAAAGCTTTTCAAATAAACCTTATCCCAGGAACCCACTAGCTGTTGACTAATAACTAATGAAACAGCCTTGTAAGTCTTTCTAGTTTTAAAAAGATAATTGAAAAAAAAAATGGTCTTTAAATGACCATGTCAAATATATAAAAGGAGAATATGGGGAGTGTTTACCCTGAATACTTATTAAATGAGAGAAAAGAAATTCTTCCACTTTCTATAATACTTAGGAGAATCAAGTGGTTGAAACAAAGGGGGAGTTGGTTGTAAATACTCTTCAAATTCATATATAAATATACAAATGTAAATGACCTTCAAAATTATCTGTACAAGCACTGTACAATGTATTAAAAGAAACAATTCACAGGTCAATAATATCATTATTTTTACCCAATAAGAATTCATATTAGTTTCTATTCTGTGTACTTGACCTTGTAGAATGAAAATGAGGTATTCAGAAAGAAAATTATACAAACATTCAACTTTACTCATTTGTTCAGATATTCATCAGTCTTCAATTTCAGTTGATAAATATCTTACTAAACCTGCTTTGCCTGAATAATCAGTATTTTCTATGTTAGCATTATGACTTTAACTCTTAAGTTTTCAAAGGGAAGCTGTGAAAGAACACAAAACTTTTTTCATGGCTGTCAGTTTATCAGGGCTTATTTCTTATTTTAAGAATATTAATTCATGTTGGGAACAGTGATGCATATCTGTAATCCCAGAGGCTCAGAAGGCTGAGGAAGGAGGATCAAAAGTTCAAGAACAGCCTTGGTAAATTAGCAAGACCCTCAGCAACTTAGTGAGACCCCATCTCAAAATTTAAAAAAAAAGGGGGGGTAGGGGATGTATCTCAGAGGTACAATCTCTAGTACTGTCCAAAAAAAAGTATGAATTAATTAAACTATAAGCAACAACAATTATATAATTAATGATACAATGGACACATTTCAATCCCTTGAGATACGAACAGAAGAGAAAATATGTACTTTGGAAATTAAGAAACGCAGTGAGCCCATGATTTGAATTCTGCTCTAAACTTTAGTTGCAGGTAAATCAACAAATATGTACACTCTCAAAGCAAACCACCAAACATACCATTACATTTTTGTGTTGACTATTTCGCTTAAAGTATTAAATTTAGTTAGAAATTCTGCAATACCTCTGTTCTTTTGTTCCATAGCCAGCTGCTTCTCAAGTGTTTCCCTTAGTTCTCTTTCTCTTAAAAAATCCATCTTCAGCTCTGTTTTTTCCAGTTGAACCTGTTTTTCTTGAGCTCTGGCATTATCTATGGCAACTTTTAAGAGCCCCTGTACAAAGAAGGTATTCAGAATGGTAATATGTTGGTAAAAAGTACATTTCATTTGTTGCTTAAAAACATTTTAAAAGAGAAGAACTCACCAAATTCTTAAATTATTTTGCATTCACTCCATACTCACTAGGACAAATACTATAAAGCACAAAACTTCTAAATTTAATTAAACTACTTTAAGAAGGTAAATATTTATACCATGCATGTTCCATTGTTTCTGATTAGAATATCTAGACCCCAAACTAAATGAGGGCAACACATAGCATGTCTAAAACATAATGCACTAATTAAAACAATAGTAATAATAACAGAAGGGAGATCAGTAGAGGAGAGCAAGTGGATCAGGCAGAGGAAGGAAGGTACTGGAGAAGGAGGTTGATCAAATTATATTGTGTGTGTATGTGTGTGTGTGTGAGTGTATGAATATGGCATAATGTGGCATAATATTACTATGTAAAATTATAATGCACCAATAAAATAAGAACTGAAAAGAAAATGTGGGTAAAAATCTGATGCAAGTAGTTATTTAACATGGTTGATAGAGCCCTCTGTAATCCTGGTAGTCTCCTTACTTTCTTGGAGCTCATTCTCCCACTCTCTAGCATGATCATACTAGATCACGCAATGTTCTTTGTTTTCCTCAATTCAACAATTTGTTTCTGTCTCAGAGACTTTGCTCTTTCTTTTCCCTACATGAATGCTTGTCCTCCAAAACTTTACATGACTCATACCCTCACAAAGTCACCATTCAAGCCTTTTACCACCAAATTTGGAATAGCCCTCCAAATATAGCTTGTTCCTCCCTCCTATAAAATTCTTCATGTCATTTAACATTAGGTAACATTGTCACACTGAGTTATTTGTACACTGACCTATATTGTGTTTTTCCAGTAAAATGTATAGTCTCTAAGGTAGGATTATTTTCTCTTGCTTTGTACTACATCCCAAGTGCCCAGAGAGTGCCTAGCACATATAAAAGTACACAAATCTCATGAATAGAAATTATTATATTAGTGCTATATTTTTCTTGAAACTTGTAATAAATTTAAGGTCTCCAAAACTTAGTAGTTTAGTAACACATTGTGTTTCTAAAGTCATTCAAAATGGTTCTAACAATTTGAGAATAACAAAACAAAATTTATTCATATGACTAATTATGGAGATATATACACAAAATTTGACTTACTGTATTCTTTTAAAAAAATTAGCAGTATTCTAAGATTTTTTTTTGTACAACAAGATTGTGAGAATGTTAAACATATAGAAAACATTTTCCATGTAATAGACCAAAATTACTAGTAAAAATTAGAACTAAAATTTCTATCTCCCTCAATTCAGCAATAATAAATGCTGGTTTGAAGTTGAAACTATTTTGTGTTGATCTGTAAATATTATAGACTAAATTTTTCACTTGAAATTATAAATGAGATGAAAGTTGAGGCCATCTGTACACTTGCTTGAAGATAAGATCCCCCTTGCAAGATTCAATGTGAGCAGTTTGAATCAGGAATTTCAACTCCAGCTTGATTTGTGAGCCCACTAGAGATGTAACCTTACTTCAGCCCACCAATGCAGCTTTTTTTGCAATGTCATAAGGCATTTTATTTTCTCTTTGGACACATATAAATTATTTCATATTTGTTGTACCTGACCCTGAATTTCCTGGAATAATTCTTGTTTGATATGAAAGAAACTGGAGAAAGATTTCTATGTGGCAGTTTACCCCTCCCTACTCTTTTGTTGTTCAACAATAAAACATAGCTGCTAAGGAAACTGGCATCTTAGCTCAATTCAACATTCCTGTATATGTTTCTTCTTCATCAGGAACAAACAATTAGTAACAAATGAAAGAGATCATTACATCAAGTGCCCTTTTAGATCACCCCAATTAAAACTTTAGTTTAGCTGTATTTTAATTCTAAGATACCAAATTCTAATTTTCTGCTCTGATTGCTCTTGTTGACTTATCTTTGAAAGATGTACTCTCTGTGCAATGTCTAGAGATTATTTAGCAAGATGCCAATGTTGGCACCACTTAATGTGTTGATTGGTTGTATTATCAGTAGCTGTTTAAAATAAATTACTATTAAACTATTATTGTCCTTGGCTGACAAAACACAATATTTTGGTGTTCTTTAAATATGAAACAATCATGATGAATAAACATGTTGAATAATGTTAAACTGCAATTCTAATTTGTTTAATTTTATATTAATATTAGTTAGTAAAGTATGAAGTTGCTAAGAGCTTTTATGTTTACTGTTTCCTTTTGTTAAAATGTTGCTAATGGTAGTACATTACCTATTCCTGCTGATTATGTCTGAAAAATATTAGCTTTTAGAATCCAATACCCTCTAGGGACTACTTATAAGCTATATAAAATTAGATTTAATTTTTAGACTTTAAATCTGCACACATCAGTAGGAGTCCAGTGTGAACAAAAATCTGCACTAGAGCCAAACTGATGCATATGCAAAAGTATGTTATTGCCAGTGACAGCTCTGCTACAAAAAATACAGAAAAACAATTAAATTTAAATGCAGCAGGCGGCTGGGAAGAAGCAGTATCAAGTAATGTTCACAACATCTACAAATTACTAAAGCACTTTCTTAACCATCGGTGATGATAATACTTTTGGATTTGTGTAACTTCTGTAAATTTTCTAGATATATGGTATGCAAAATTTCGTACTAAATTCTGTGTCTCACTTGGATATTCAATATCCAGCCAAATGTGTGGTAACAATTGAAATGCAGTAGAAGATTGAAGGTTTGAAACATGAACTTTTTCCAAGGGGAGTTCAAATTCTCAGGAGGGTAAAGTTGGATAATGACAATTGTAAAGAAATACATTTTAAACTTATTGTGTGACACAGCAATTCTGAGACACAATGGTTGATTAGCCTCAGATTTGTTTCCCATATATGAAGCATGATGATTTTCATAATACACAAATGTTCTTGTTTTCTAAAATGATCCACCTTGTATATTATTTTCATGGATTTTGAGAGAATTACTTTTTTTTTTCTCCAGGAGCACTGCCATTGATATAGCAATGTTGCAACTATCTATAGCTTAGAAAGCATAAATATCTGCCTGCCTAAGACTTCGAGTAATATTGTCATGAAAGAACCATTTCTTAACATGATATTTATAACCAAGAGCAAAAACTTAACCTGGTTCATGTTTATAGTCTAGGAAAATTTATTTCAGAATAAAGATGATAAGTAAGTGTTCTTGAGTGTCCCTGAAACTTATGTAACATAATTTGTGGTCAATAATGTGTTTCTTTACTCTCAATAATGATAATAAAATACTTTAATTGAACAGAATTTAGAAATCACTTATTCCATCCAAACATTAAAAAAAAA